AATGTGACGTCAGGGGCGGGTGAGATTTCTATTTATTTACTCTGCCATTATTTGGCTTTATTTAATATTTACTCGGTTTGGTGCCGCTGTTGCTGCTGCCACGCACTCTCGTTCACTGTCAAACGCTAATTGACAGGTAAATGCTTGGCAGTTTTGCTGGAAAAATAGCGATAATTTTTCGCAATTCTTAGCCTGATTTTATGCAAAAAAGAGATCAGAGCCGCAAAAGTTTGGTGTGCCTATGATTTTTCGGGAATGGCGGGACTCAAATTCTATAATTCATATGCAAAATAATGCTGACCATACAGTTCTCCTTGCCTTTTGCTTTTTGGCCATAAAGTCCAAGCTAATTTGCATTTCGAACATCAAACGTTTGGATAAAACAAAAATCCAATAGGCAAATAAATAGGCAAAAACTTTTACAAGCAATTCCGATGAGATTTTGTTGGGCGGTGACGAGATGAAGAGAGTCTGATCTCAGGGACCGGAAGGCCAGGGGAAACCACATGGTCTCCTGATACTCAAACTGGAATTCTTCAATATCAGCCAACTACTATTTATAACTGCTAAATGGCCATAAAAGATCTTCTTCTTCTAGACGGTCGAAAGTTCCAAAACTAAAGCCAAGTCCAAGTCCAAGCTCAACCCTCGATCGTCGAATAAATCAAGAATTAAATTTCGCCCCTGACCGTGGCAAACCGGTAGAATATATATATTGATATTGATTATATAATGCTTCGATTTTCGCTTATTATTATTTTATTTGAGTTTTGCCGGTGAAATTCGATCGATGAGAATTTCGAGTGGAAATTATTAACAGGTTAGTGGAGCAGTCACATATATATTGATTATAGAACGATTACCATAGGCAAATAAAACAAGTTTATAACGAATGAACTAGGATATTTGCATAGATATAACCGATAAAGTGTTGGACTCCCAAACAACTCGAAAACGATATAATTTTCCACGGGTAGTTACATAGTTCTGGGCCGCTTTGAAGGCTGGAAAGTAATTCAAATGGGTTTCTTAACACCCTCAAAAGCCCTGCCTCGTAGCGGTCGATTGGAACTGCCGGCCTTGCAAAAACACTCGACAATGGTACTCGAATAAAATGCAAATAGTCGGACGAAATTCTCGTTAGTCAATATCTCGCTGAATGAATGCATTTTGGGCGCGCGCAGCTCCAAGCCAAGAGCGCGATGACTGAACAGAAAACGCTCGAACTGGCGCTCACTGAGGTGATTCCATAATGGCGTTCACTTGGAGTGCGAGTGCGAATCGGAGTCATAGATGGCAGGTGCCCACGTAATTAATAGAGAGCCCCGGGCCCGGCCAAATGATGGCTCAAATGGCCAAGTGAGTTACACGAATGCGCCAACTGGGCCAGCTATTTGGCCAAGATCTCAGCTTGTTGCCCAATGCGGTGCGTTAAGAGAGCCATTATGAGGGAGAAACTGCCCAGTCACCGGGTCACATTTGCCAAAGGACCAATAATACTGACCATCAACATTCGCCAGAGTGGCCTCCATCAACGTGTCTCTTCTCTGACCACTCTGAAGACAATACCTTAAAATTATAGCCACTTGGGCCTGTCAAAGGTCGTCCTTGACTGTCCTGTCTGTTGTGATTCTTCCGGGAAAGATACGAAAGAAACAAAGGGAATAGTTCTTAAGTCTTTACAAAAACTTGAACTTGTTTTGCTCTGTCACAAAAAATTAAGTATCCCATATCCAACACTGAAAGAATTCAGTCAATGAAGTTTGATGCATTTTTTATTTTATTAAAAAAGGATTAAGGCATTTTAACACCTTTATTTCTTGCCACTATGTAAGTTTTTGCAACTGCAGTTCATACAACAAAAACCACAAGAAGACTGAATGAAATATAAACTTCATATCATAAACAAGGTAAATAAAAGTAAATGTTATCAGAGGATACAACCTGTTAATATTGGCAATATTGATGAGTAGTGACTGAGCAAAGGACTCACGCTGAACTGAGCTCCATTGTCTAGCCAAGCGAATATCATAAACATCAAAATTGCGATCGAACAACCAGTTTCTCCTCCCTGAACCAAAATTAATGATGCATGGACCTGCCGCGCTGTCCTTGGACTATCCTGCCTCCTGTGGTCATATCGGGCTGGGTTTTTCCAGCAGCCAGAGGCAGGGAGGTGGAGAACCAGCGGCTAATTTGGCCAAGTTAACGAACGATGAACATGAAACCAGTTCTGGGCACGTAAGCCGGCCGCATCGTGTCCCTTGTTTTCGTCAGCTAACCGCCACTTAACAACAATGCAATGTAAATCATAATGTTGGCCGAAAGAATTAAACGCGCAGCAAGGAATTGCTGATGCGACAGTTCGTTGGTGGCTGAACTTTTGGTTAATTGTGAATTTAAAAACTGTTTGCCTGATCGACTTTTTTTGGTTTTCCGCCACTTCAACATAAATCGTCAGGTTAATGGCACTAATGGGAATTTGCAGAGCTACGGCTGATTTACACGATTAAACTAATATGACATTTCGCACCCGCAATCATCCATACACTATATTACTTTTTATATATATGCTAGTATATTCTGATCCGGCGTAGCGTAGGCGAGGCTTTGCCTTGGCCAGCATTTGTTTGTGTGCTCCGTTGATTAACAGGAAATGCTCGAAGCGTTTAAACCAAACACAGATCGAATGCGTTTCGCGTCTATTAACTATCTCCACGGCCGCCGAAGGTGCTAATACAAGACAGTGCATCATAATATCCCCCATATCCAGTATATTTCTATAATATAGACTAATAAATTTTGCAATTACTTTCCATTTACAGTTGGCAAAATGTCGTCGGTCAGGCTAAACGAAACGACAACCATTGTTGACCGAATGGTCAACTTCTTTGTGGAGCACGAGGATCTGCGCACCAAGGTGGGTCTTTAAAACTAACGAATCTAGTTATATTATTTGTTTATTTTATAATTTAGTTGAAGAACTTTCCAGTTGAGAACTGGCTTTACGATCAAACTTTGATTCTATAGTTTGTTGTCTTTAAATATTATAATTTTTAGTCGTGTCATTCTGATATTTGTTAATGTATTGCTTAAACTTGTTTCTTAAATATCCAAATAAATTATTAGGTATAATTAACAATCTATCAAAATGTTTAAACTTACGAAATAAATTTGAATTTCTCGTAATTCTCCTCTGATTTTCCCTACTTAATACCTACAGAGCTGGTTCCTTTCGAATGCCCCCGGACCGCTGGCCATGATCATTGTCGCCTACCTCTATTTCTGCCTGTACGCCGGACCCCGCTATATGCGCGATCGCAAACCCTTTGAACTGAAGAACACGCTGCTGGTTTACAATGCCATCCAGGTGATCCTCAGCTTGGTGCTCTTCTACGAGGGCTACAAGGGCGGCTGGGGCGGTCATTACAACTTCCGCTGTCAGCCGGTGCCGTACGAATCCGATCCAATTTCCATGAGGGTGAGTAGCTATAGATTCCCCAAGTCCATATACCTTTATACATTATAAACACTTCTCTCAATTTCAGATGGCCCGCGCTGTATGGTTGTACTACATTGCCAAGATCACAGAGCTGCTGGACACTGTGTTCTTTGTGCTGCGCAAGAAGCAGCGCCAGATCTCGTTCCTCCATCTGTACCATCACTCCCTGATGCCCTGTTGCGCCTTCATCGGTGTGAAGTACTTTGCCGGCGGCCATGGCACGCTGCTGGGCTTCATCAACTCGTTCATCCATATCATCATGTATGCCTACTACCTGCTCTCCGCGATGGGACCCAAGGTGCAGAAGTATCTGTGGTGGAAGAAGTACATCACCATCCTGCAGATTGTGAGTGCCACCAGATGGTTCAAATGGTGTGTTGTCCTGGCTAATCCTTCTGTTCTTCATAGGTCCAATTCCTGATCATCTTCGTGCACACGCTGCAGATCCAGTTCCAGCCCAACTGCAACTTCCCCAAGTCCATTGCCGCCCTGCTGACATTCAATGCCGGTCTGTTCACCTACATGTTCAGTGCCTTTTATGTGGCCAACTACAAGAAGGAGGCGGCTGCCCAGTCCAAGTTGGCGGCGAAAAAGGAGTAGGGAGCAACGTTAGTTGGAGCTCCCCTAATCTGTACACACTTACACTTACATTTACGGTCCTCTCCCTCCCGATCCCGATCCCGATCCCTGTCCAATACCCATTCACCCATTCCCGCTCCAATCCCTAGGTATATAGTTGAATATTATACAGCCTTTAGTTGCGTAAGCTTGTTTCGTAGTATTTCGTTAGTTTGAGGATAGCGGCTTCTTTTGAACTTGTTTGGATCAGTCGCCATTGCAGAGTGCAAGAGATCGTGGCACTTTCTGTATTGCGATAGTGTAATAGAACCAAATATTATAGTTTAGTGATTGGATATTATCCTACGGACTTGGCATGCAATGAAAGTCAATGGCAATGGCCGCCACAAGGACAGGCGAATGGCATGGGAAACTCTGAGTTTGTCACCTGTGATCTTTTTCCTGTCAACGGCACCTATTTTGCCAGTGCCCCCCCACTTTATGATGCAATGTAATCTTGTATATTTTATTTGCGAACAATAAACCAACAATTCATTAGGTAAACTATGGAAATCTGCCTTTATTTACTTGGGTCTTTTGCTATACAAACTATTAGTACTAGACACGTGCAAGGTACTAAAAAATGCACTTTAATATTTGAAGTTCAATAAATGTTTTGGGGTTTCCAAATACGCTCGTTGAAGTCATTTGGAAACTAAATATACATATTATATATACACTTTACTTACATTTTAGGTGGCACGAAAACACCCAAAAGTATCCTATGGAACTCAATCTTCTAAAATACAAGTAAATATTATTTGTTTAGCTTTCATTTACTGTCTTGTCGTTTAGTCTTATTTGGCCTGCACATGGGAAAAGAACATATTTAGCTTGATAAGGTTCATTGATAAGCCGCTTTGTTCATCTCAAAATAATAATGGAAGCTGAACTCAAAACGCTGCTCTGTCGAAACGCGGTTCCAATTATTGATTTAGAGAACTGCATTGAGGGCGGGACTGCTGTCGTGGCCCAAAAGCTAAGGAGGGCTCTATCTGAACAGGGCTATGCTTTGCTTATAAACCATGGAATTTCCAATGAAAAGGTAAATTAATTAATACACAAATTATGAGTTACAAGAAATTGTCCTCTCAGATGGAGGATCTATGGATTTGTGGACTTGCCGGATGAGGTTAAGGCAACCTATGAACGCACCAAGGCTCCGGATGGGGATAATCATGGTTATGTGAGTCCTGGGATGGAACGCTTTGATGGAAGGACCCCGGAATTGAGGCATGCGTACAACATCTGCAAGTTGGGATCGCATGTTTTGCCAGAGAGCGAATTGCCTGGATTTACAAAGCACATAAACTCCCTGACCGATGACTTCAATGCCCTCGGTAGGTTTATCCTCCGGGTTCTGGCCTTGTCCTTAGGGGCACCGGAGTCATTCTTCCTCGACAAGCACTCGTACATGTTGTCCGACGATCGTTATAATCTCACCACCCTGCGGATGCTCTACTACCCGCCGGTAAAGGACACCAGTTCCAAGGACATAGTTCGCTGTGGAGCACATGCCGACTACTGCTCCTTCACTCTTCTTGCCCAAGACTCGGAGGGGGGATTGGAGGTGAAGCTGCGTGGCAGTGATCAATGGGAACGAGTTGGTCATCTTCCGGGTGCACTCTTCATCAATTGCGGCGAAACCATGGCCTCATGGACAGATCAATTCTATCACGCTTTGGTATAAAAGAAGACTTTATTAAATTAAATTTTTATTAGAATTAATTTAATTTATTTCTAGCAACATAGAGTGGTGGTTCCTGAGCAGCAGGATACTCGTCTTCGGGGACGGCACTCCATTGCCTATTTTTGTCATCCCGATAGTTCAACGCTGATTGATTCTAAAGACTTGAATATTGATTCAAAAAATGAAGTGTAAGTGAATTCTTAAAATTCAAGAAGGTATCTTACAGTTTCCTTTTCAGAATATATAATGCATATGATATAACAATGGCTTTGGCGAAAGGAGCCTATGGGCATAATTACTCCTAGAATACAACACACGTTAAATTTAATAAAATGTATAATTATTCTAGTATATATTATTATTTATTATATAAAAAAAACTAATCGATCGTTTCAAAAACTCTGTAAATTTATCAAAAAACGTCTAATTACTTGTTTCTAACATGTATTTTAAAAACCCCAAAAGTATATAGCACCAATAATTCTTGACATTCCCAAAGATAAGAACTGAATATGAGTACATATAAAGGCATATTCCGGGTCAGAAATGGCCAGTCTTCTCGAGAACCGCGCTGTGCCCGCATCGTTATCGCCGCACCTCGCAGATAATAATCATTTTTAGGCACAATCTTGATTTGTTTTTGATTTACCTCACGACCATTGTTTGTTAAGAATGATAAATACAAAGATAAGAGAAGAAAAACTTCAGACGCTTGTGTCACGCAGCGCTATCCCGATCATCGATCTCGCCCATTGTGGTAAGTTCCAGATCCCGGTCCCTAATTAAAAATGTATAATTTAATGGGAAAGGTCAAATAAACCTCTTGAGATCGTATAATTATCAGTGTCTACTTCAATGCATTGGAATTTGAATAATCTCTGCAACACCTTGTCCAGTGACAATTTTTATTTTTATTTATCAGCAAATTTAAGTTGTACAGAAATAAGAAAATCGGTTCATAGAAAAAATCTTGTTCCCTAGGTATGTCACGGAAAAATGATTAAGATACTTTAATGGAAAGTTGTTGGGTGTCAAAACGATAATTTAACCAACCCTTAAAAATGTTGTAATTTTATTAATTTATAATATAAATTCCAGGTAAATCGCTTGTGAACCGTGTGGGCCAACAACTGCACAAGGCTTTTACCGAAAAGGGTATTGCTTTCCTTGTGAATCATGGGATCTCCGAAGACAAGGTAAGTTCGGCTTACATATTCCCATCTTCAATGTAATACCTATATCTCAAAATATTTACTTTTGGCTAGATAAAAAATGTCTGGGATCAATTCGACAATTTCTTGGATCTTCCGGTTGAGATTCAGGATCGCTACAGGCGAAAGGATGGTGGGAATACAGGTTATGTTAGTCCGGGAATGGAGCGTTTAGACAAAAAGACTCCAGAACTTCGACACGCTTTCAATATTTGTCAATTGGACGATCGGAATATCCCCAGGGAACCACTTCCAGAATTTGCTGATGATACTACAACTGTAGCCAATGACTTGCGAGCCATGTCCACATATATACTCAAGGCCATAGAGGCGGCTCTGGAGATTCCTGCCTCCTACTTTGTGGAGAAGCACTCCCAAATGCTGGCTGGAGATGAGGTCAACATGAGCACTCTGAGAATGCTTTATTATCCGGCGATCGTGGACGATGAGCCGGGTCAGAGTGAGGGCGCCATTCGATGCGGAGCCCATGTGGACTATGGCACCTTCACCCTTCTTGGTCAGGACTCGGAGGGTGGCTTGGAGGTGCAACTGCCGGGCAGCGAGAAGTGGGAACGCGTGGGCCACTTACCAGGGGCCATTCTCATCAACGGCGGTGAACTCTTGTCCATCTGGACGAAGCAGCGCTATCATGCCTTGGTAGGCTTACCTGAATCCTGGATGAGCCAAATCCACTCATCTGATGTTTCATGACTCTTTTCAGCCACACCGTGTTGTTATACCTGAACAAGAACATGTGCGTACCCGTGGCAGGCATTCCATTGCCTTTTTCTGTCATCCCAATAACTCTACATTGATTGATCCCAACGATCTTCTGCCGAAAGAGGCGAAACAGACTGATGACAAGTAAGAGATACAAAGATCATTTTTAAATGATTATTTTAAAGTATTTTCGTTTTAATTTGGTCTGAATTTAGAGTTTACAGCGCCTACGAGTTGATACAGCAAAAGTTTAACGATACCTATGGAAGCCGCTCGAAATAAATTAGTGAATCTCGGATATGAGCTCATTAACAATTAATAAATTATAATAAATTCTAAAATGACTTTTGATGAGAACAACAGCATCTTGCATCAAGCAAATGTGATACTTTTTCTTAGTATTCATAGAGGATAACTCGTATCTATGTCCTCACAAGGATCTTGGGAAAAATTGAGATTGAACATGTGCTTGACTGTTAAGGATGGGTAGCCGATCGATGTCCAGGAGTCTTATGGTGCTACCAATATTCTTCTGGTATTCGGACCACTTATTCTAAGCGGCTAAAATTTAAATCTTAACGGTCGATTGATCGTAGAGATGTGAGTGTTGATCCCGACATCGATAGTTCCCACATCAGATACAGATGTGTGTGCGATCGCATTGTATCTAGATACTTTTTGTTTTTTATAAAAGTGTAAATGTGTTTTGTTTTTTAAACCATGCAAATAATATATAATATTTTTTATTATCGCTTAATTTAGCAACGTTTTCAGTTTGTCTTTCCTACTTGTTACGTTTTCGATCACTTCGTTTTGAATACGATTCTTTAGCAAAGTTTTCCACCAGGTTTATCATCAGAGCTATCGACCATTTTTGTTGTCAGCATTTTACGAATTTCTCTTAATGGTTTTGAGACCGAGACAGACGCTGCTGTTCCTCTCTAAAGTATCTCGCACTCAGGTGTATCTAGGTTAAATTCGCGGGTGTGTTACAAAATGATGGAAAGTGTGCAAAAAAGGCATCAGAAAAAGATACAGAAATTGACTAAGTAGATTGTTGGCCAACTTTTGTGCTGTCGTCGTCGTGGTCGGGTCGAGTTCGAGTCGAGTTCGATGAAAAGCGAAACCTGTGCGAAAAAAGAAAGCGAGTTTTCACTGTAAGCAAACGCCTCGCGAAACCCCAAGCGGTGTAAATCACAATTTCAGCTGAATAGACTTTGGCTTCAAGTTAATAATAATTTGCAGTGTGCCGCCTATATGTGTATATCCATTCATACGTATTTTGTTTTTGCCACGAAAGGCGAATCGAAATGGAAACTTCACGCCACCGCGGCAAGCGCTTACTCACTCCCAGTTCCAGCCCCAGCCCCTACATGCCCCTATTTCTGGCCCTTTCAAGACCGCTGGGACACTCTGCCCCTTCTGTGTTTGCATGCAGATGGACGATCCAGACTTTGCTCATCTGGCATTTCCTCTGAGTGAGTCTGCAGGCAGCCGCTTGGCAACAGCCGTCTCTGCTCAGCTCAGCTGGTTGCTCAAGGGGTGAAAAGACAGCCAGCAGCAGCAGCAGCAGGGCTCACACCTGAGGCGAACGGTAAACGGCATCCGCCAGATACAGATTCAAGCAGAGTATCTGCGCCTGTATCTGAGCACACACACACACACACATACATACGTAGAGACGCTGAGCTACCTGAGCCACGGCCACGTTAATGGGCATTGCAAATATTGCAAAAGCAAATCGAGAGACCGACTGGAAACGTCTGGCTCTTTGGTTCAGCCATGTACATACGTACTTTCAGAGTCACTGAGTACGTATCCCCCCGGTAGAACGACAAGTGCTAATTTAGTTATCACAATTTTTGATTTGATTAAAATTTATCTAATTGCGACGCACCTGCAAAGAGAGAGAGAGAGGGAGAGTACACCTCAGGGCGCTCTCTCGCTAGCAATCAGTTTGCAAAATATAATCGTAAACTGAGGCAGCGCTCTAGCCAGTCAGGTGCGATAAGTCTGAGAACCCAGAACTTGGAACGGAACCCCGCCGAACCAAGACGGTTTGCTGAGTCCGCAAGAGAAGTGCGCCGATCGTAGCCAAAAATTTTGGTCCGCCACGCGCCCTTCTAAAGTCGCCCCAATCGCCGAATCAGCCGTTTGAATTTCTGAAATCACATTTGCGGATCGGCAGTGGTTTCCCCTCTCACAACCCTGCCCCCTCCCGGTTTTCAACTGTCACTCAAAGCGTTTGCTCGCTCGAAAGTCAAAACAAAAACAATAGCGGTGGCAAAAGCAAAATACGATAAACTAAGCAAGAGAAACAAAACAATAATAAAGATATAGCACTCGGATGTGCGATTCGAATGTTTGTTTTTTCGATATTCGCTGAATGGAATAATAATAATAATAATAATAATCGAGTTCTGTGCGGTCTGTCATTCAGTTCCATTTAGTCGTCGGCCATCGCTGGAAGTGGTGAACCCCGGACGGTCGAAGTCTGTGATAAAGCGTGCACACAAGTGCGGCGAGTGCTCTTCGTCCCCTTCGATCGCAACCAAAGAACTTGAGACATACGTTTCCAAGTCCGTGTCCGCGTCTACTCCCATCTAATCCAATCCAATCCAAACCCCACACATACGCTCCAGCAAAATGATAAAAACAAAGAACAGCGACGACAAGCTCGACACGCTCCTCTCGCGCAGCGTGGTGCCGATCATCGATCTCGCCCACTGTGGTAAGTACGATCCCCCACATGGAAGCCACCGTCATCCATTAGAACTGATCAGGTCCCAAACACACATTCTCCTGATAGTTGCTAGGCAAGCGATTTAAAGTTAGATTTCCTACACGGTGAAAAATAATAGGGAATTTGTATGCCCCCTTTACGGTATTCTAAATTTAGTCAAAAGCTTGAAACGCAGCGAAATAATCGTTTCCGACCCTATAAATCATGTATATTCTAGATCAGCATCAACAGCTAAATCGATCTAGCAATGTCTGATGGAAAAATACATTTTCGAAAATTTTTAAAAAATTTCAAAATTCTATAAGGGGTTACATCACTAAAATTGTCAAAATTTGGAAAAAATTTTAATTTTTTAAATTTGTTAACCTTACAAAAACTAGCATAGAAAAGCTATCCGAATTGAAATCGATCAATTTTTAGCTTAGTTATAGAAATTTAAAAACTTTGATTTGGTCAAAAAGTTAGTATATAAAAATATTGATTTAATATAATTATAATACAGACATTTTAATTATTTATTGAAGACCAAAAAGCCAACGATTTCAAAAGTAATTTATATTTCGATTTTAAATTAAAATCATTATACTAGTAAAAAAAAATTGACTACAAATTTGACTAAATTCTTTAAAATTTTGTATTGGTCCAATTACATTTTGGCACATTCGAATCTATGATAATATGGATTACCCCATTCCTGTTTGTTTTTAATAATTTATCGAAGCCAAATAAATATTCCTATGAGTGTAAATGAAATGATTTAATCTATAACAAACTGACTGAGTTAAAAAATCCAATGAATCATTTATTAAAAAATATGAGTTCCGCAAAAGCTATAACCATTTGCAAAATTTTAATTGTATTTATAGAACATGTTGTTTATTTGAATATGTATTTATTTATGGGAATTTCACATAGAGTGTTAAGAGTGAGTCGGAACATATATGTATTTTGTATAGAAATATTGATAAGATTGAGATTATTTTGTCACGGCATAAATAAATTATCAATCTGTAGTATTGTCATATTTTTATTTTCTCTGTAAACTGAAAAACTCCATAGTTAGCTGGGCATAATTAAGAGTGCATTTGTCATTGAGTCATCGACAGTTCTGTTTTGGGGTGACTATGGTCGATCGTTCAAGCCTGACAGGGCTCCCTTAGTTAATTGCAGTTACTTAATTTGTTCGTGGCTTTGCAACTACGTCGCAGTTAAGTACAACTAATTACTCACTTGTATAATATGGCAGCTTCTCGCTGATTGCGCTGCCAATGAAAATGGCAAAAACGATCTTGAAGTTAGCTATGGAAAATCTGTCTAAGAACAACAGAGGAATACCTTATATACTCTTATCGTATTCGCAAAGAGCCCACTAATTGGGAGTAGATAGTTAATCTATGAAGTGCTTTAATGGAACTATGTACGTAGCGGCAAATATCACGCTGTTACGGACTGGTATTTCGGTGTGATTTCTTGGAAACATACGACATGAGTAACTTGTCAATGGTTGCTCTCAAACTCACACCTCGTTTATTATTAGTTACCAGACCGTGGGGTATAGTAAACAATACGCACTGCTCTATATTTATTGCATTAAATAAGGCCAGTCTAAATGTCGATCACATAAATATTTATAAATTAAATGGAAAAGCATTCTCTACTAGCTTAGTGAGTTTAAAAAAAGCTATCCCATTGTGTGCTCCAGTATCTCTGTTATTCTCAGAAAACCGCGATTGAGGCAGTGCAGTTAAGGTACACAATAGTCACATAATCTTACTGCACTTTTAATATATTTATTTGGCCTTTGTTTATGTTTGTGTTTACGGAAGATTATCAAAATACGCAGAAGCTTAGAGGTAGGTACATCTCTTGATGAATCCAGCAGCCCAAAAGAGGTTACTGATTTTATAGCTTTGTTTGTTCTACCGCGCTTCATCATCGGCTGGCCCTTTTTGGGCCACAACAGTACAAAATTTTCCATTTAACCATTTTGGAGGCATTTTGGAGCTGGAAGCCGTGCCCGTGCGTTAACTGGGTCTTTGCCGATACGTGACACAGTTTCCCTGCAGTAATGGAAATGTACGCTTATCTGGCCGCAAGTTGGGCCCCGGGCTCCACCTCACCCATTCCGCTCGATGGGGTACAGTGAGGCCTGGCCTTGAGGGCAACACTCTTGACCTTCGCGGAGCACTCTCTCGTGCGGCTGAGCCATTGACCCCCAAAGCAGCTAGAAGCAATTAAATCGCTGCCTTGCGGCATTTTTGTGTCAACGGAACTTCAATTGGTTATTTTATTTTTTTCTTGCTTTTGTTTACTTTTTTGTTTTATTTTATTGTCGGTTCCGAGGTGGAGAGGTTTTTGAACTATATCGCAGTGGAAATCGTGGCATTTTGTGGAATGCTTTGATACGCAATGCCATAGTTTAGTGCGGAAACTCAAACAGAAACGCATCGGAACATTAACGCTTGTTTGAGTTACGAAACCTGATTGTGTTTGAACAGCGACTGCGATTCTCAAGCGTCATTTGTTTAGTGGTTGCAGCCTTATTTGCTCACTGCCAATCGACACTTGCCTGTTTGCCAGTTACGAGTTACCAGTTACCAGTTACCAGTTCGGAGACGAGCCTCATGACGCATCTGGTTAGTGAATCCCCCGGCGTCATCACCGGGCCTCACCTTGTTGTGTTCGACACAACACAAACACCAGGCCATCGCAGATACTACCAAAAAAATCGAGGGGTATAGCCAGCATGCTAAGTAGTTGGACTCTCCGGTTGAACCGATTGAAACCAGCTTAAACCTGTTGATTCTCGACATGCCAGGCGCTTTTGTTTAATGGCCACCTCTCTTGGCTGGCTGGAAATAGAAATTGCCAGGCGGATTTCACCTGACCCCGTCAGTTAATTGACACACAAAAATATGTTGTTAATGCAGGCTGAAAGCCTGAATTAAATTCTCACTCTTAGAGTGGCAGCTGGCCAAATAAGAATGCAGCCTTCAGCCAGTTCACACCTCTCCAGCTCCTCCGCGAGAATAGATGATAACTCGGAGAGTCATTGACTCCGTCCGGATGCTTCAATGCCATTGAAATTATTTTTCCATTAGCCTGACATTTGCAGAAGCGCGCTTCCTCCAATTCAAACCACTTTCCAATGGCCGCAATTCGGCTTTCTATAAATAAATTATACTGCACGGCCATATTTCTCGACGGAATTCGGCAACTAAATTGCCACATAACATATGGATGTACATATACATATATGAGGGGAACAAATTGGTCTATAAATATTGAATTGAGTTAATCCAAGCGAGAAACTCAAGTGGCGAATTGAAATCTATTTGTGGATTATGTTTAAGGGGTTATTTTCCGAAAACAGAACGCTGCAGGACTGAATTGAGAGTTCATGCGGCCATCGCAATTAAATTGTAAATACATCGAGTCAACAATGGGAATGCTCAACCCGTGCCCGCCATTTATGTTCCGACCATAAATGCATAAAAGCCAATCAATTTCAACGATAAACTTGTACAGTAAACAGAACGCAGTGCCAATCAAATAAAATAGAAAATAAAAGAGAGGAAAACCCAATCGAGGCATAGAGAAATTCTAAAGGCGAGGCGAGGCGAGTCAGACGAGATGATCTTCGGCCATGGGATGTTTCTACTTCTATCGACTGATTCAACTGAAATACCCAATACCCTGACTCAATTAGCTAAATTAGCGACAAGTTAGCACTAACTACACGCTGCCATGGGGAGCTATTTTTCAGCTGGCAAATTGAAAGGCGACTCGCATCCCAATTGTCGACTAATTGAATTGCATGCAAACAACACGGAAAATGGTCAAAACACAAATAAAACTGGACCGCTGCCCAATGAAAACGAAAGGCGATCCGGCGTCAATTGGAATCATTCAATTCGCCCGACTGACCTCTCTCCGTCGTCGGCGCCTCATCATCATCATCATTTCCCACATCGTCAACTGCCATCTCAATCTTCATTTGTGAATAATATTAAAATGTTGCCGCCTGGCGACAGAGCTCTACCGGAATGATAAGAGTTGCGAAAACGTAATTGTTATTAACTGTGAAATTCTGAATTGAAGGAAACCTTATCAGTTCGCGCTGCAGTGCGTCACTGCCCCAATCGGGAGCTGAGGGCAGGCCGCATTAATTTCCAGTCGAGTCCAGGGGAAACCTATTAATAGATTGCGCATACGCCCGGTGTGACACGGAGGGTTTGGGGCGGAAAATATAATTACTTTGCTTTCATTCATGACTTGTCTCGCTCGCGATGAGTAAGTGATCACATTAGCGACCAAGGGAAATTCCCTGCCATCCGATATCTGTGAGGGCGCTCTCCCTTTTCCAGACAGAAGAAGAACTTGTGTGGACTTGGGCCGAATGGCGGTGGGAGGTGGGGCGGAACCCCGCCACTTCCGCTGCGGTTTTTCCTTGCATTCTCTATTTAATTTTCCGCCATGCATTGTCAATGCCGCGGCCATTATCGTCGGTGGCATCGCATTGAAATTGATTGCATTTACCTTTATTGCATTCGGTATGGCAAATTACGAGCGTCTATCGAGCTCGCCTCTGGCCCATCGCTGGCCCGTTGCTGAGTGGAAATGCAGCTTATTTGAGATTCCAAGTGACTGATTATCTCACCTGTAAGTATGTAAACGGCACGTGGCCGCTTAGCCACACTTCTCAATGGGCCCTGACATTCAAATCAACGGCCAAGTGCTCGAGAGCTAGCTATTTATTGGCGTTAGTAGTAAACACACAATCTACCAATACTTTATGGGGGACCACAGCTCCAGCGCGCTGGCCAGGTGGAAAAACATTTCCAAGAAGCCATAAAAGAGCGACCACAAAACAATTAGCGATTAAGTGGCAGTTCCTCTGGTTATTCCCACGCCCCCTAATTCATTCTCGTATCATGATTTCGTTTCAGGCATCGAGGAGGTGCCGGTCAAGTCAGTGGTCAACCGTGTGGGTCATCAGCTGAAAAAGGCCCTCTCCGAGAAGGGAATGGCCCTGCTGGTCAACCATGGCATTTCAGACGAGAAGGTAAGCTTGTGAAAACCAATTTAAGATATATGTATATTAAAAGAGGTCACTTGGAAATGATATTTATATTGGTTTTATCTAAAAGTAGAATTTTATTGTCTTGCAAAAGTATATATCCAATAAATAGAGAATAAATATATGCCAAATTTATTGTGTCTTTCGAATCTCTATTGGTTATATCTAGTATAATCCCGTTTATTGGGTGAAATTTATGTGATAAGCATAAAGAGCTCTCTAAAGAATATTATTAAATATATTAAAAACATCTAATTCCTTGGCTACTCTTTCTCTGTTTTTGCCAAACAGCTCAAGACTGCGTGGGATCATCTGGATGACTTCGTGGACCTATCTCCCGATGTCAAGCAGCACTATATTCGCACAGATGGGGACAAACATGGCTATGTGAGTCGTGGACAGCCGCGCTTCGATGGCAAGGCGCCGGAGCTCCGTCATGCCTTCAATATCAGCACACTGAATGCCCAGAACCTGCCAGAGGAGCCGCTGCCCGGTTTCGCGGATCACATTAGCACTCTGGCCACAGACTTTAAGGCGCTGGCCAGCTTCATCCTGCAGGCAATGGCCGTCTCGCTGGACATTCCGAACACCTTCTTCCTCGAAAAGCACTCACACATGCTGTCCGGCGACCACGACAACATGAGCTCCCTGCGTATGCTCTACTACCCGCCGGTGGTGGACGACGAACCCGGCCAGAACGATGTGATCAAGGGCCGCTGCCAGTACAGCTATCAGCGCTGCCTGTCCAACCAGCCGGACTTCCGGCCGGAACACAATCCCCGCGACGAAGACGACCTCAATGAGGTCGATGGCCCCAATGGCCAGCTGTTTGAGCACAAGTTGGGCAACGGTGCGGTTATCCACTGCCCGGCTCACGTTGACTATGGCACCTTCACTTTGCTGGCCCAGGACTCGGAGGGCGGGCTGGAGGTGAAGCTGCCCGGCAGTGAAAAGTGGAATCGCGTGGGCCACCTGCCCGGCTCCATACTCGTCAACTGTGGCCAGATCTTAAATATTTGGACGCAGGAGCGTTATCCCGCATTGGTAAGGATACATTGATACTTACTTTTAGTGAAGTTGCAACTAATCTATTTCAATATTTCCACTTCAATAGCAACACCGCGTCGTTATTCCTGAACAGGAACATATACGGGCCCGTGGTCGGCATTCTATAGCATTCTTCTGCCATCCGGATAACATTACGATGATATCACCCAACGATCTGCCCAATCCGGATGCGGCCCAGGACAAGGCGTGTCTCAAGCAGCGCAAAAAGTCCTTCAAGGCGGCGAAAGAAAGGTGAGTTTCGCTGAGTCTAATCACATTTCCTGTGCTAACTCGCTCTTCTTTGTTTCTTTTTCTATTTTTTTGTGCTTATCGCTGACGATAATTGGTGGCCGTAAATTTCACAGAGTCTACAATGCATATCAGTTAATACAGAAAAAGTTTAGAGATACGTATAGCAATAACAATCACTCATAACGGCGAGCGAATGCCACGCGCTAGAAACCGTCGAGCCATCATCCATCGCATCTCTACCTGAACCGGAAGGAAGGAATGAAGTTCGCTGCGGACATGGAAGTGGGAAGTGGAAAGTGAATATGAAAATGAAAAGCCAAGGACATATCCGATGTTTTGAACCTTTTTATTATTACCTTTTACTTTTATTCCATACGATTGTAATTGCTTCATTTCATTAATTTATATGTATCGAGATACTATATACAATACATGCATACATACACCGTAAACATATCCCTTTGTATAATAAATATATCTGTATAATTTAATATAGTTTCCACTGAAAAACGCACATGTTAACATCAACACTTACTTAAGCCAAAGGGGTTTCTTTCGCCTAATTTTGCTGCTCGTGAAACGCGGAAGGTACACACACTGAGTACAACTCCGAAATTGACCGACAATCGACCACAGAAAGGAGTCGTGCTAAAACTGACTGTTTGCTGTTTTTTGTTATTGTTTTGTTAGTATTTTCCACACGTTAATTAACATATTTCTCTCCCGCTGTCCACCTTGTTAGTATTTGTTGTTCATATTTAATGCCACCTGGCCGAATGAAAATATGAATTTCGCATTACGTTGTAATTATTTTAATGTGGTTTGCTTTTAAAATTCTCTTTTGCATTCCAATGATTTCTTTTCAACTAGTATTCACATACATAATACACACACATTATATAACAATTATTTGACTACCATTATTAATAGACACTCAGTTTTGTAGTTTTTGGTTACAAAATAAGCTTCAGCTCGGCATTGGACATTTAATTTAATTGCGAGCGATATTAATTTCGTTAACATTGAACATTGAGCCGCATTCGGATATGGATTAAACCATATACTGGCTATAGCTTAGGTACACTGTATCTCCTCTGACTGGCATTATGCACTGTCAGATAACGTAGGGAAATAAAATGATTCAGTCTGAATACAGTCGCTGGCAGAAGTACTCTGACAAGTCATAGTCACTGTCCCAGGGGTGTGGTAGAGGAGGCTGGGTTAGGTTATCTGGGATTGCATCATGGAGTGACTGGGCAGCATACCTTTACCAGCGACTGTAATCGCCGTAGTTGTTGTGAGCTTAACACAAATTGCCATAATTTAATTATTTACTTTTCGGCGATTACGCGTTCATTTCGGGTTTAGTTTTTCTATTTTTTTCTCGTTTAAGTGTCACATGCTCACCCCATCAGTTGACATGCCAATTTGCTATTTAACCAAATCGTATTTTCTGTTATTTATGGCTTTTATTGCGGTTGCTGTTTTGAACAGATTATTATGGTGCTCTACACGGACACGTGCCACGCTTTTCAGGGTGCTTAGAATACCCTAAAAGAGCAGGGTATTGCTATCTTTTAACAGCAATCGGAATACTTAATTTTCGGATGTCATTCTCGCATATATTTTGTATTTCCTTGTTGAGCCGATGCACCATTTCGGAGCAGTGCAATGCACCTGTCCGTGCCTCCTGCACTTGAGTAAACAAAGCAATATATCCGCACTTGTATTTATGCACAATTAAAAATAAGTATTTCCAAATTATTTTTAATTAAGGAAACAAGGAAAAGCGTTTCAACTCAAATTGGCAGCTGGGAAAGGGCATCTCGCAGTTTGCACTTGAGTGGAAAGCTTTGGGCTTAATTTAGTTAACAATATTTGGCTACATTTCAAACGTTATCAACAGCGTTGCTGCTGCTGCTGCTGACTGTAAACTTTTTTCGTGGGTGTTCCGCAGTTTAAACAAAGCGCCGAGAGTTAAATAAAGCAAATATTGACATACCCACGGGCCGGACAAGGAGGGTAGTCGAGGGAAGGTAGGTACTATGCTCATTTGTCGACTACGGTGAGCTCTTAAGCCGGCGCTTTAAATAATGACTATGAATCGTAAGACAAAGTCGGCGTTTTATGCACGTCGTTTATATATATGTAGTATTTGCAGCGATTTGATATATTTTTTTTTGGCAAAAACAATTTTAGCCAGCTGAACACAGTCAACTCCCTTTGATTTATGGGGCGGCGGCGGTGACAAATTCGGCGCGGGCGTGGCAGTTACTGCGATTGTATCTCTTGTACTGCTTTCAACAAATTCGCAGGTTCTACTTCTTGTAATCGAAGGAGAGACTGAACAGACTTGTCCTTAAGGTTTTTGGGGCTTTAAGATTGTCCAAGCAAGAAATTAGCATCATAGGAGTTAGTTTTTATGAGTGTCAGTTGCATTTAGTTAAAGGTACTTGGCTAAACAGGTATAGTTCATATATAATATATAGAATTTTATGTTGCAGCAACAGTGATAGACTTTGAGTCGGGGAAACTGGAGGCGGCGGCGGCTAAGTATGTGGCTAATAGACCCAATGGATATGTTAGTCGTGCTCTAGGCTCTACATTTAAAGTTAATATGAGCGGAACTCTTCATTAATCGGTTATGCTATATGACACGCATGTTTATATATGTTTTATATATATATATAGTTTTGTTTTTAGCCTAGTGAACAAGATTATTTTAATGACAAAACACTTCTTAGAGAAATGGGAAACGAAATTAGAGCTGGAAATCAAGTATGGGGGGAGTATTTTATAGGATAACATCTAGCATTTCAAATACGTATATCAAACATTCAATATTATGTTGTACATATATATTAGCTGCATTTCGCATTTATAAACATCTCTTTCTAAATGTCAATCGATTATTTTGTGAAACTCCCGACTTCATCCTATCCATGACACATACTAAATATGTAGTATGCCATTGGAATATTTCCATTTTCATTTATATTTCAATTCATTTTGCACGTCAAATTTTCTGCTCTCGAAGGCTTTCTTTAATCTGTGGGATTGTCGTTTTGTTTGTGGTTGCTGTGGCTATTATTCGTGCTCAAATTCTTTTAGCTTTCAGCCGGAGAGTGGGTGTTGTGGGTGAGTGTTGTTGAGTTATTTCTTTTTAATCTGGCCGGTTGGGAGGGAAAGCACCCACATCGATGAAGCATTGCAACTGAAATCAAGTATACGCCCCTTTAGTTGGTGTAAAGTGGATGCAACTGCTGCATCTGGGCATCTGTGGTGGGCGTGGCGACATATTGACGGGCGCGCATCACACTCATGTGAATCTCGGACGAGGCCGTGGAGTTGACGCAGTTGGGCATCTCAGCGGATCCAGACCCAGCCCTGGCTCCATTCGTTCCCCTACGGCTGGGGCCACCGAATTCCAAGTCCCGGTCATCGTCCCGTCCTCCGCCGCGGCGGCAAAAGGAGAACGGGTAGGGAAAGAGGCTCTGTGGAAAGAGAAAGAACCCATTAGATATAACGATATGCGGATAAAGTTCGTATTTTTCATGGCTCGCATATTTCAGTTGGAGTATGCTATATAACTTAATAGAGTTGGCTTGCTAGCAGCTACTGTACAGCACTCAAAGGTTAAGCATACGACGCGTGGGACAGTCCACAAGGGAAGGTTGGAAGGTTGGAAGGGAGGCAGGAGGAGCTTGGATGACGGCGGCGGCACATGTCTGTGACAATTTGGTTTCACACACAAAAAAACAAAAAGAAAAACCCAACAAAAACAAGTGGAGCAGAAAAGGAACAAAAAAAATGCTAAAACGAAATGAAAGGCCGCCGCATATACATACGTATAAAAAAAAGGACCAGTGTGGGAGTGTGAGTGTGTGTGATGGTGTTGTGTCAAAGTGTGCAGCATAAAAGGGAGAATTTTTAGAGAAAAAATAACATTTCATCATCACAATATACGCTTGTGTAGAGCAGGTGGTGGTGTTGTTGTGCGAGTGTGCGGGTGAGCATTCCCATTCCCATACGCATACATACAGAGTAGAGTAGAGTTGATCGGAGTAGAGCGGGGGTCAGAGGGATTTCGGTTTTTAATTTAAATATTACATTTCGTTTTAGGCTTTCTGTTGCATACTTTGGCGCGCTTAGCTCGTGCTGGGCCAGAGGCAACGAATCAGCAAGGAAAGCGCCAGCTGTGCGTGAAAGAGATGGAAGTACGATGTATGTATGAGTATGTGGCAAGTGATAAAAGGCAAGTGGTAAAGCTATGAAGATGTTCAAACGATTAGAAAGCCAGACTGGAACCCATATCACTACCAATTCACCCTCCAAAGACGGAAGCGATGAAAGAGAGAGTGAAAGCAGTGATTTAGCTAGAGACAGAGATAGAGAGAGCAAGCAGGCAGAAGAGCAGAGAACGTGCACAGTTTTCAGTTCTTCAGGCAGAGGAAAAGCTATGTTGTCTTGCTTAGCAACCAGAAGTAGAAGCATTTCAATCAGCTAATAATTAAACCGCTAAACTTTCTACACTTTTCACCAGGCACAGGCGACACAGAGAAAGAACATAGTATCATTAGTTCCACTTATTCCTTTAGTATTACTAAATCAAAAATCCAAGACTTAATTCATCATGTTATATATACAATAGTTATTTATGACTTATTTTTCGTGCAGAATTACTGCTCTCAGTTAAACAATTTGATGTCTTGGTAATCAAATAAAATTCATTCAATCATTATAATTTATTGCTTCCATGGACCTTCTTTAATATGAAATTCAATTAATGATCAACATTGCTCAATATATTCGTTCTCTGTGCCCCAAAATGCTACTATCCAATAGCTACCAAAATAATTGCTAAACGTGAGCCTCTTCGTGTGGGCGCTGCTGTGGCTGCGGTTGTGTCGCCAGTTGCAGTTGCAGTTGCTGTCGCTATTGTTGCTGCCGCTGCTGTGCAATGCATTGCCCGGTCCTTGGCGATGGCAGCCCTCGCCGAAGCCCTTAACTAAGTCTAAGACGGTGCAGGGAATTCAGTTATCGGTTGCCCAATTAAAGCGGATACGAATTGAATAGAATAAAATTCCCATCAAGATGTCGAAGTCGGAAATAAATGTAAATTACTCCTCGCTGGCAGCACAGCCCAGCCGCAAACTCACCTTGAGGGTCTTCTTGAAGGCGGCCCTGAAGTCGCGATTGAAGTATGCATAAATAATGGGATTCAGGGCCGAGTTGAAGTATCCGATCCAAAACAGGATGCCAACCAGGAGGCGGGGCGTGATGCAACTATCGCAGAGCGAGGACACGATGTACCTGGCATTCAATTGAATTAAAGGAGGGTTTAAACTTTAAACTAAAGACCCTTCAGAACTACATTATAACCTCTGATTTGATAGTTTATTAAGAAACATAAAAAATACAAAGTACAAGTATACGCACCAGAGGAAGAAGGGTAGCCAGCAGATAAGGAAAGCGCTCATTATGATGCCCAGGGTGCGGGCGGCCTTCCTCTCCCGCCTCATTGTCGTTATGGTCGACTGCTCCACCTGGATGCTTGGGCGCGGCTTGGGAATTTGACTAATCTGCAGATGCTTCTCCAGCAGCAAGGCGGCCACCTTGGATCTACCGAGCACACACACACAAGTAATTAGCGATAATTGGCAAGAGCGACATCCCCTCCAGAAGTAGCTACGTTACCTGTACACCAGGCGCTCCTGACGGTCGGCCTCCTGGTAAATGCGATAGTACATCGACAGCATCACGATGCCGGGTATCCAGAAGCTCATCGATGAGCTGACTATGGCGTATGCCTTGTTCACTTTGAACTCGCATATCTGCAGCGGAATGGTAATTAAAATTGAACAGACAACCCAATTAGTGTCAGTTTCGAGTATTGATAAATCAAAACGCAATACTGAAGTTGAAACCCTAAATGCGACTGTTTCGAGTATTGATAAATCAAAACGCAATATTGAAGTTGAAACCCTAAATGCGACTGGATGGATGCCAGTGGCAAGTTCTAATGGTGCATAATGCTTTGCAATTTCCAACTGCGCCTGCGGCCAACACTGCGTATGAGCAATGTGATTACTGCAGCGTCAAGTGCGGCAATAAAAACTCAATTACATTGTGCATTACCGCAATGGCGCTTGACAAAAGGCCACCACCGCCAGAAGACATCTAATCAGATTTACGGCCAGAACGCAGGTCTTCCCGACTTCCGTCCTTCGTCCTTGGAGCTACCTTGCGCCTGACAGTTATTAGCATAAACAAGTAAAACTAATTAAAGCCCCTGCGCAGATGCTAATGTATGCAAAGGGCCTTCAATGACTTTCATGACTGGCAGGCGGAACGCCAAAAATTATGCACAGCCTGTGCCCCAGTCAGCCGCAGTCTCGCGCACAAAAGCGGAATGGAATTACGTACATTTATTTCTACATCAGCATTTTTTATGGCGCAATGATAACCGCATTGCCGGCAAAAGGCAAAGGCAAAGGCAGATGCTGACTGCTGACTGGGCAGGAATCGGAATGGGAGCGGAGCGGATAGGTTCCCGGAGAGCTTCCTAGCAGGCGTGTCGAGTGTGGCTGGAGGAAACCAATAAAACGGAGTAATAAATATGCTACCTGTCGGCTGTGAGTCTGAAAGGCGTAAAACTGCTGCCCCAGCCACACAGCCAAAGGAACATAAATCAATTTCCCGTTGAGACGGGGGCCAGGCCAAAGTCAGACTGACACACGATGCCATGTAAAATGCATGCAAAGTCGATACACAATGTTCGTATCAACTAAATTAGAATTTTCTATTAGTTTGATGTGCAAGAAAATTGAATAAATAATGCAGGTAATAGAGCGACCCCTATACCGACATTGAAGTCGAAGGAAATCTGTAGGTCACACAGCAGGTCCACTTAAGGCAAGTGGAAATGGCTCCTATCCCATTCACAGGTAAATGCAATTATCCAATTAAATGCGTTATTACCCCCCAACTGAACTACTCACATGCGGATTTGATTTGAGATACTTGTAGTTCTCGGTCGTTGTGTACCATCCAGAGCAGATGGGCAGGAATGAGAGCAATGCCGGCGAAAGCCACACCATTAGCAGCATGATGTACACCCGTCGCTGGGTCATAATTAGTGGATAGTCAAGCGGCTGGACAATGGCATAGTATCTGCAAGAGAAGTGAGAAATTAACGATATAAGATATAATATTATAAGACTCAATTTCACATCTAAAACTACTTTGAATTCTACCTTTAAGTGGTCCCAGTGGAACCTCAACATTATTCAGCGTTGACAAATGGGGCTCAACTCACCTGTCGACGGATATGCAACAGAGGTGCATGATGCTGGCGGTGGAGAAGTAGACGTCAAAGCTGTTCCACATGTCGCACATCACGGAACCGAACATCCACTTGCCCGAGATCATAACGGAAGCATTAAATGTCATCGCACAGAGGGCGACCAGCATGTCGGCGACGGCCAGTGAAACCACAAAGTAGTTGGTGATGATGCTGCAAGGGCGGGAGAGTATATTCAAGGATAAGATTAAGGTTGCAACTGCGGAAAGAAGAGACCCGAGACCCGAGACCCGAGACCCGAGACCCGAGTGCAATGGAACTCGAGATTATCAAAGTTTCCAAGTTAAATTTGTGCATTAAGGTTTGCTTGCCAGTCACTCGCAGCTCACAACGCTAATCGCTTTCAGACACTTGCCTTCAAAGTTGAGTTGAAAACTTTTCGGGGCGCACATTGCGCATACGCCGCATGTGACCGCCGTTAAATGCGGTATAGCGCTACTGCGAGTGGATTTCATTGTTTAATGGGTTAATTAATAATTAGCTTAACGCCACCGCAACTTCCACCAGCAATCATCAACGTTGCGTGGCACCGCAAAAAGTTAAGTCAATTATGTGCACGCGGCGTATGCGCAATGTGAAGCAGCAAATACGTTTATCGGCCGTCAGAACTGATTCACAAACATAACCCCTTGCCTGAGCTGAAACCGCAGCCAAAAACCGAATGGGAAGTGGATATAGAAGTTTAAAACCGAACTGCCTGTGGGGAATCGGAGCGAGCCACAACTTCTCAAATTAAAGTTTTGCTTTCAGACTAAATGGTTTTTGCCAAAGTGATTTAATATGTATAAGGTGAATGCGAAAAGTTTGGTTGAGGCTGACTCTCAGTCAAATTAAGGTCTTATCTATTAAACTCGTTAACAATCGCCCCCCATTTAGTCATATTTCAGCAGGACATCGAACTGAGCTCCGCCCACAAGCCTAATTACAACAGCCCCAAAACAGAGCCAGCCGCAGACGGGCGGGAAAAGGTCGAGTATCTGAGGGTAAACTTAAAGCCGCAAAGTACGGGGTACAAAGGCAAAATACCCGCATCAAAGGCAACACGAAAGTGTTATTCAGGCGATGGCCAAAAGCCGATTAAATGAAGGCCTGGTGACGGTCAGGTGGAGTAAACCCTCCTCGGCGCTTGATAGGTGTCAAGTTTGATTACAATTATGAGACGGCACTTTCCGCATGCCGTCGTCATTCCTGGAAGCTTAACTTAATGGGGAAAGTAGAGAAAGTGCGCCACAAACTTGTCCTGCGTTAGCTAAACTTGATCTCTGGGCTCCAACCTTTAATTTGTCACCCAATTTATTGATTCGGGGCGTATCCTGTATTTGCCATGAATTATTTAAGTTGGGTGAGGCTACTGGGAAGAGTGGCACTCCTTTGAAGCCAGGACATGGATATGGAAAACAAAAAGAAAAAAAGATGTGGGTCCCTTGGCCATAAAAAGGGCGGCGTGGGCGGCCGATGTGTATGGCCTAAGTGGGAATACATGTTGTTTCGTAATTAAGTCTAATTTGCCATGATGATTTAAACTGCGTAGCGAGGCAGAAAAGGTGAAAATGGTGCGGAAAACGCACATCACAATGAGCACACAATAATGAAAAAGATGCTGGCACAAGCACAAGTCGAGATAAAAATGGCAAAATGGAATAGACGTAGTCAGGGTCAGGTCCCAAATTGCCTGTCCCTGGCAGGCTAAATGAGCCTCATCCTCATTCTCAGCCTCAACCTCAGTCTCATTCTCAGCCTTATGCTCATGCTCATCCTTAGGCACAGACTGAGGACTCCGACTGAGACACAAATGTCAGGTGTGTGTTGCCAAGGCAAAGGTAATATGGCAATGGCATTGGCAGAGCCTCTTCTTGGTTCTGCGCCTTGACATTGAACGTCCCGGGGTTAGGCCGCACACCATTGTCACCTCGCCGCCTTCCCACTCGTTGGAGGAGTGTTTTATGTCGGGTTCTTTAAATGCCACCGAGTTGAGCTTATGAATTTGTGGCTGAAACACGTACATACCTGCCAGGCCTACTGCCTCGTTCCCCATGGCCTCATATCTCATGTGGAGGCGTCGCTCAATTCATAAATTTGACAAATTATATGGCCGCACATAAAGTAAATGGCAATGGCACCCCAAAAAGCAGGCAGCAATATTTTTATGCTCGCCCTTTATTAACATTTCTAATGTAATTACGCACGTATCTAGCATTTAACTCGAATCAACCAGGCATGAGTCCTGAATCGTGAATCCTGAATGGCGAATGATGTTGTCCAAATGCTCGGGTGGCGGACAAGATGAGTTCTGTGCGCTTGACACGCAAAAATGATGGAGAATATGATAAATGATGACAAATTAATGGCCGCAAAAACGAGGTGGCCAGCTCGTAAAGCCCTGAGCGGTCAAGTCGCACAAAGCCGCTCGCTCGGAAGGTGCAAAAAGCGGGGACTACCAGCCAAAGCCATGTCCTTGACAGCCACAACATCCGCGATTCGTGGACAATGTGGCAGTGCACAGCTCAGGCAATTGCACAGAAACAAAAGCGAGGAAAAAAACGGAATGATTGTGACACAAGTTGAGTTTTTCCCTTTGACCTGGGCTACTGGTTTAAACGAATTTACAATTTTTATAGACCCATTTTTTTAGGCCGTCCACCGATATTTAATGGATTAAAATTTACGCAAACAATTTATATATTTTAATAAATATTTACGTTAAGGCTCTTACGAATTTTTAATTCGAATTTATCTTCTGTATACTTATACAAATTGTCAATTGTTTTTTTTTTTTTTTTTTTTTTTGAAACAAACTTTATTGTTGACCCGCGAATACCAGTTTTATTGAGGAATTCATTTTTGCATGTACACTTTTTATCTATGTAGTTGAATTGATTTTATACATGATTTAAATGTAAATATTTGATGATGATGAAAAAATAAATGAATCAAATAATCCATAAAATGTCAATGTTGTAAAAGGAAAGGCTTATTATGTATATTATTTTTTTTTTTTGTCAGAAGCTTTAACTCAGTGAATCAGTCACTTCCGACCATATAAACCATATATATTCTTGATCAGCATCAACAGCTAAATCGATCTAGCAATGTCAGGTAAAAAAATACAATTTTAAAATTTTTTCGAAAATTGAAAATTTTATAAGGGTTTGTTACATCATTAAAATTGTCAAAATTTGACAAAAATTTTGAATTTTTAAATTTGAAAACTGAGTATGCAGATTTGTTAACCTATTAAAAATTAGCATAGACCAGCTTTCCAAATTAAAAGTTATGATTTTTTTAGCTTAGTAATGAAACTTAAAAAACTTTGATTTACCCCAAAAATTAGCATACATAAATATCGATTTAATATGCCTGAAATACAAATATTTTAGGCTTTCTTGTTGGCACACGAAAGACAAATTATTGCCAAAAGTCGTGATTATCACTAAGCACCTATTCCCTAAGGCTTCGAGAAGTGTAATAAAGCCACAATGTGTATTTTGTATACTACGAAATGGAAACCCTGACTGGAAAGGGGAACCCCCCTTTGATTCGGAGAGACAAATTAATGGAGCGATAGCGACCAATGTCAATGTAGACACATAAACACACCACCAGCGGATGAACGGATGTGAAAAAAGGATAAAGGCGACAACTGTCGGCCGGGACTCACCGCAATTTCCGGTGCCGCATGACGGACACAATCACCAGCATGTTGCCTAGGATGGCGGCCAGTATGATGAAACCAATAACGAAGCACTTGACGAAGACTAATGTCAGATGTGTGCTGCCGTCGGCGTCCTCCGAGGAGGCGTCGCCGGCGTCCATATCCTGCGCCTGTCCAGCCACAACGTCTTCGACGGTCACAGCGATGCTACTCCCACTCCCGCCTGCGCTGCCCAGTCCTCCTTCATCTATGAGGCCCTCGGCAATGAATTTCAAATATCGGGCATGTGACGCCGAGTCCTCCAGCACGGGCAACCGCTGCCTTTCCATTGGGTGCAAGTGGAGCTGGAGACGTGGCTCCTTTGTATCGCCAACACCGATGCTGCCCTCGAGCATCGTCCTGGCCGTGGTGGTGGACATGGCCTGAAGTCTCTGTAGGAGTGTCATGGTAATGACCACTATCAGTGCTGCTGCTGTGTATACGTTCAGTTCTCGGTCCGATCAACTGCTGCTCTAATGCCAAGAAAAAGGACACTCAACGGGGAAAGCATGCTGCCTGACATTTGTTCTCGGTGGACTCTTTCTCTGATGACGGTTATTATTGCCCAATCGGTTGCCAAGTTCTGCAATTGAAAAAGATAAACGATTTATTATATTTGCTCTAGCATTTTTTTCTCATATTATTTTCTCTTCATCGAAAGGAGCAACATTGATTTAATGGTCAGTTTGTGGAACAGAAAAATAAGGATATTTTTGTAGCAGATGATTTAACCATAATTGGCCAAGAGAATTTTCATTTTCACAACATTTTTATTGACATTTAAGTGTGAGAGTAACATTGATTCAAATATTTTATTGCAAATACGTAAAGATATTTACTTAGCTAATAAGCTGTCATAACTGCTATTTAAAAACATTTATAGTTCATAGTTGCTATTATGTCTAATCCTTAAATTCCTTACAGCAATAATTTCAAATGACTTCAAGTGGCTAGAGATATCTCTTTAATCCTGCAGAGCATCCCAACTTCTTCTCATCCATTGACTTCTGCTTGAGATTCCACAGCCGCGTTCAGGATTCGATTTCCATTTACATTTGCATCAATTTGGCATTTGTTGTGGCAGCTAAATGAACCGCAACGTGCTGGCTATTTGTCTTCCAACTGCCCCCCAAGTTCCCTATCTTCCCAAATCCACCGATTCCAGTGATTCCTATGATTCCACCGATTCCGCGATTCGTGAAGCATGCAAATCTCGGAGGCAGGAAAATAAGCAGAATCAGTGCCGAGAGTTAAGCCCATAAACACCTTGCGTCTTTGTGTGTATATAAATTTCGTTAGCCGCAGGCTCTGCCAGACAATGAAATTGAAACCAGGCTTTGTACGGACTGCGGACTACGGAGAGTAGTGCCTGAAACGTAATCCCACTCAATTGGTTTAATTTACCATAAACAGCTTCGGTGTTGCGAGGGGAAAATTTCCGTTTTTGGGCCCTGAAAATTCGCTTCCTTCCTGGCCGAGCCTGGCAGCAGCTGCCATCTGCTGCTCGCCATATTTTAGCATCAACGCGACAGAGGCTTATCATTAGCAAATGTCAATTTTCAAATTATGTACATTTATTTTGCAATTTGCTTGCCTCGTAATCGATGCCAGCCCCGCCTGCTGCCACACAAGAAGTTTCGCCTCATTTCGGCAAATACTCGAGTGCCAGTGCCGGGGGCTATACTTTTCCATTTGGAGGCGGAGAAGTACTTACTCGCTCCTCGACGAAAGTAGGCAAACATTCGTAGGAACGTGTAATTCCCATGTTGGGCAAACTAAGCAAACTCTGGCTATCCATAGTCTCCTTGCCGCACCTTTAGGGAAATGTGGTTTTTATGTGGTTGCCTCCCGTGTGCTGCTGACACTCGCCAACAAAGCGACCGCGACTGAAGTGAACTTTAAATCAATAAAGAACAACAAATTGAAAAGCCTCGAAGGTGGCTTGCCCGCGCTTTTCGCTTTTCGTATTTCCCATTTCCCACCAGAGAGACACCCCATATACACGCCGAGTGCTTTTGTCAAACGCATTGACAATGCGCCATAACAATAACGACGGGCGTTCGAGGCAAGATGGAATTCCGGACCCGGACCCAGACTCTCATCCAGACCCTCACGGGATCCCAGTTCCGGTTTCATCCTTTGTCTGGGCAGGAATCAGAGGGATGATGGTGCTGACTGACTGACGACAATACATCATTCACAGCAGGTGTGTGTATCAACGGTTATTTTTAATATATATATTTTTGGGGTAAGCGAAGATACCTCCAGCATCTTTACCTTTTTCCGACTCGAGATTTGGCCTGGCTTTCTCGTTTGACCTTTCAAAGTTAGCCGAGCATACAGTGGATGCAAATGCTGAGCGTACGATTAAAATAAGGAGCAAAAGGAGCCAAAGAAGCTGGTGGTAAGCAGAGGTACATACACATACTTGAGAACTGAAAGAGATATCAATTCAATTGAAGTTTAAATCAATCAGGACCATCAATGCGCACACATCAAATGAAATCAGTGGCATGTTTTTGGCCAAATAATATTTCACTGCTCGTCCTCTGGCTGGGCCAGGTCACGGGTCGTGGCTACTCGGGTCCTTGGCTCGGATGGGTCGTTGGCAGGACATGCTCCACGCTTCACTCGCATTGTGTGAATGGATGTGATTTATTTCAGTCCGACACGGCCCATTGTGGCGGTGCAGCCAGAGAGTTGGGAACTGGGAGCTGGGAGCGACTTTGGCTTGTTAGTTATTTATTCTTACTTATTCTTTGCTTATTTGAATTTGCCTCTGTTTATTTACAGCTGAGCGCACTGGGCCAGGCCACAAGCGTTGATGTTTGCTCTTCTCAGCCCGGGCAAAGTCAAGAAAAAAAATTAATTTGGGAATCTTCTTGTCTTCTTGTCTTCTTGCTTGGATTTGATTTTGAATTGGGCTTGGGTTAAGTTCAGCTGGGGTTACCCGTCTGCGGCTCCCACCAGATTGATGGTCAGCTTTAATTACTTTTCGAAGAGCGTTTTAGTCCGCCTTTCTTGGCTCTTAATTAATTTTTAATTTATGCAAAGAACGGAAAAAAAAGAAATCCTCTTGCCCATTCCCTTATCCCTTTTTCGCTAATCGATTTGGACAAACATCCGAAAATGCCACTTAAGCACACGCAGCGCCTTCTAATTGAGTGACCCAATCGAGTCGCAGTCATTTATCACTGGGAGGAATTACGAGCAGGACAGGCAAACTCATAAATATGACCCTCGGAAAGCGATTTAATTGAGTGCTAAGAGCCTTGAGAGTCCCGAGAGCCTGGAGACAAAGGCCCTGGACAGTGCCCGCTGGCAAGGAAGTGAAATCGGGCTGAAACGCTTGTCACCCGACAAGGCAGATCGAACCCAATCGAAGGCGGAAATCGAATCGAATGGCAGCGAATCGAAACTAATTGGACGCCGGGAAGTATGCAAAGATAAATTGACATCGGTCAACCGCCAAGGGGGAAAGCAAGTTAACTTTGTTTCGTTTATGTCGACCATTTGCCAAAACCAACACCAAAAAAAAAAACCAAAAAAGAAAGCAACAGAAAAATTGAGAAAAACAATAGTATATATAGCGAAAAAGAAAAACCACGTGGGTGGGCGCTGGCGGTTGAGGCAATCAGGCTGGCGGACCGGAAGTGAAAGTTCAATTATTCATCTGCCATGTCCCCAGTTCCTCGCCCCACCGCTCCATGATCCATGCTCCTTGATTATGGTCCGCCAAGAGGCACAGAAATACACAGACACTGCCGCATATTCATATGCTGGCCATCAGCGAGCTTGGCCTTGTTCGCATTTACATTTTAAATTGCAGTATTACGAGCTCTATTTGCATTGCTCCTGGCCCGAACAACGCGCTGCCCATTTTCGAGCAGCATTCTTTTTTACACACACACACACCAGCAGCACACAACTTGGCTGGAAATAGATGAGCATTTTAGTTGGCATTTTTCAGGTCTGCATTTCTGAGGCCTGACAGCAGCCAGCCGTTGACAACGACAGCTGCTCTTTGCGGCTCCTGTGGCTCCTGCGGCCTCACTCGCCAGCCGGATCCTGGGATGAATAATGAACTGCATAATTTGAGCAGCATTTTGGAAAATATTTACAAAATAAACATAGGCAGGCAGGCAAGCAGCAAATATTCGGTATACACAAATTACAATTGCAAATTTGAGTTCGAATAAAGAATGTCATTGATATCCCATTTATGGGAAAAGCAAATATGGCATTAATTAGTTTATTAATTATTTAGGAAAGCTGACCTCGACTCCAGGGAAATTCACAAATCAGAGCAACAGACAAATTTTAATTGATTTTCCGAATTGTAACCAAAGAGTAAATTCCTCGACCTTTGATAACCTTTGAAATTTAGCAAGAATGTCCTTTTTAAATAAACCTTTGGTTACTATATTTCAACTATTTTCCCAGTCTCTGTTTTTCCTGCTTCCTGCTAATTAAATTACATTCTTGTCCACTGAAAATTGGGTCAGACATTAAGGCTGTTAAGAAGAGGTGGCTCTGGCTGAAAGATCCCTGCAGCCGGTGGCCAGGCATCGCCATAAAAGTGGCGGTTATGCAATTTTTAATTAATTTCACTGCGGCAACGTTCGCGGCTGTTGATGCCGCTCTCAGCATGGCCTCACATGTGCTGGGTTTTATCTTACTTCTCGCAAATATTTTTTTTACACGAGCGCTCTTTTTGCCATTTGCCATTTGCATGGCAGACTCTGTGGCACCTTACCCGCATCCAGCACATCCACATCCCTCACAGCCGCCCCCAAAACTGTTGAATATTTCAGGATATTTACACGTCGAGAGCCGGACCCGGGCGATCCATGATGCATGTCGCTCCGCTTCCGGCTGTTGTTTATATCATTTATACGGTTACTGCTGGCCAAAAGCCAAAAAGTGTGAAAATTGTTTGCTCACAAGCGCTCCGTCATAGTTGGAGCCTGTGGTCTCTCTCTTGTTAGCTGAGACCCAGTCGCATTTTCACACGCGGCCAGCTTTATTAAAATAAATTTACAACTTGCGGAAATGACTTAAAGTACACGCATACATGCGGAGGGACAAAGCACATAGTACATATAATTCTCCGGACTTCCTTGATGACAGAAAAATAACGACTAAAACGTGCTGGCAACGCTTTAATTGACACACAGGGTGCTCGCTGCTTCCTCTCGGCGGATATCTCAAATATTTAGCATATCCGGTTGACACATTACAAGCGAGTGACAAGAATGGTACAGTTGCTACCGATTGCGGAAGTGGTTGTGTGAGGTTAAATTGAAATTTAATGGGAATTAAATAAGGAATCTTTGTAATTATAATAAATAATATAATCTTTCTGATAATATATTAATAAGGGAGCAACAAGCAAAAAGCTGTTCAACATTCAATCAACATCAATCTCTACCATTTACGCAGCATCCTTGCTAGTGCTCAAATCCTCTTAATGTGTCTCCCGGTGCTTAGCTGCGTTACCTGCAACTAATTCCGCTTCACATACACCCTGTTCAGGACGCGTAATCCCGGGGTAGCAAATTGTTAAAAGCTACGCACGACTGC